CACCTACATGCAGCCCATGTTAAAGCATACTACTAAGAAAAGAAAAGCAAGTGTCGACATACGGAATGGGAGATAATGGGCTAGGCAGTGTCACTGCCTGCCAGCAAGAATAGCAGCAGTCTTGGTGCTGATTAGGCCTCAGCTAGAGTATTGGTTCTAGTTCGGAGCAATACAGTTTTAGGAAGGAGGTAGAGAAACCGGAGAGGATCCCGAGTGAGTGACAGCAATGATGAAGGGTTGGGGAACGATCTGTCGGGGGAAGTTATGAACCCAGTGTGTGTAGTCTGGAGAAAAAGAGATTAAGAGGGCACATAGTAGCAGTTTTGAAATATTAGAAAGGCTGCTAGAAAGAAGAAGGAACCACTGGTCTCCCTTACCACAGAGCACAGAACATGTGGACAGTGAGTTTAAGCTCTAGCGACTAAATCTTAGGAAAGACTTCCTAACTGTAGGAACCATTAGGCAGTGGAATACACTGCCCAAGGGAGTAGAGGCATCTCCTTCACTGGGAGTTTTCAAGAAGAGGCTACATAAGTGTCTGTCTGGGGTGGATTAGAAACAGCCCCTTCTCTGTCTGTTCAGGGTTTGGCCTAGAAGACCCTTGGGGTCGCTTCCAACCCCATGAGTCTAGCCAACAGGGGGGAAGACACAGGGCTTTGTCTCCATTTCTACTCCTCCCTGGAGCTTTAGCTGTTGATTCAGGGCTGCAATGGCAGCATTTCCGTGATGCCAGGAGCTGGAGCGCTCAGTGCTGACATTCCTGTATGAACCACAACACTGACAGATAGGAGCACTGAATTAATTCCCTGTAAAGCACAGCACCCTCCATTCACCATTGCACCTGAAGATGGTGCTGCTGCACACCTTTTGTCCAACAGCTTTGTGGTGAGAGCGCTCACCTAGGAATTGGGACCCCTGGCTTCTGGGCGTACCTTGCACTGAGAGGATGCATACCCATGCACATTAAGATGTGGGCAAGGCTGGCCAGGAGTCCTTCCATTCCTCTGGTTGGAGAAGCCCCACTGGGCAGCCATAAGTACAAGACTCACGAGACCAGAAAGAGAGCAAGCAAGTGGGAGCGTAACTGTGGCCAAGTGGAGGCCTGGGTTCAGGCCCCTTTTGCCACAGTTATTTTTGTTTTGTTTAAATCACCAACTTCAAACAATGACCTCTATTGATTTAAACCAATGACCATCTAACTTCAAATTCATATAGTTCATTTAGCCGTCCCATTTCAAACATACCTCCTTGGTGTCTGCCTGAAAATGGGAGAGAATGATCGTATGATCAAAGTGACAGGTGTTTAAAACAGGACAGTCAGCAAAACTTGGATGTGTGGTCACCCTAAACCATTTGAGTGCTTCTGAACTCATGCTGTGCTTTAAGACGAGCTGCCTAGGAATTCCTATACAGGGATCCTTTCAGGCTAAAATGGAAGTGGCCCATGAATCCAGTGGCCTACATGGTTATGTAGTGGCTGAATGGGGACAGTTAGGACTGTTCTTTGTGATTTAAGATGCCAAAATTATCCTAAACTCCTGTGTAGGGACCAATTAGGGTCTGGCCCTTGCCCATTGACATCAGAACTGTCCAATTTGTAAGGGCTGCACGATGCACAGACGGCGCCACCATGAGCCCCAGGTCCCCAGAACCGGACAACACAGGGGAACACCTCCCTCCCACCCCTGCTTCAGCGCACCAATGCCCTTCCCATTTCACTGCTGGCTTCACAGCCCTGACCCCACTACCCCATCCCCTGGGTTTGGAGCAAGGGAGTCCATAGACCCTGGCTGCTGCTGTACCCTTAGCTTGGCAGAAGCTCAGGGGCTGCAAATCAACCCTTTGCGGGTCGCATACGGTCCTGCTTTTGCATTATCACACTGCTGACACAATAAGACTATCTCCACTCCCTCCGTGTTGAGAAGTCTTCCAGTTTTGGCAAACTACAGGCTTGAAGAGATTGAATTTTCAGTCTCCTTTCATAGTGATTGGATAAGTGTCCAGCCCCTAGGAGGTTAGGAGGAGTTTGTGTTTGATTGTTCATGCCAGAAAGGGCCCTAAGCCACAATTGCAGATGCACATACCTCCATAAATTTCAGTCTCATTTGGGATCCCAACTTTCCAGTGAAGGCCCATCTATATACGGTTCAGAAAGCCCAATGTGTTTTTCTTATTCAATACAGACAGTTTGTGTCAGATCTTCAAAAGAGTTCAGATCCTTGATCCTTGACCTAAGTGCTCAGTGTCCCGCAACTCTGAGCACAAAGAATTCTCATCTTCCCTCATCTATTGAGAATGATGGGAAACTCCTCATCTCCTCTCTCGTCCATACACACAGTTTGAACACGTTGGAAAATGTACCCTCTGTCTCCTCCCTCCCGTAGAGAACAATAGGAAAGTCTCCCTCTTCCTCGGCTGAGCACAACAGAGAATTCCTGCTCTTCCCATATTGGGAACCATGTAAGATGATGGCTGCTGAGTTGCTTTTTTTAATACATTTATATATGTTATTTTCCTACATGCAGACATGAACATAATGTTTGATTCTACAGGCTTGACATGTCTCGAAGTACTGTAGTACTTGTGATGTGCCTCAAAAATATAACTTGTGTCTTTGATGCAGGAGACATTCGCCATCTTCATCTTTGGAGCAGAGTTTGCCTTAAGAATCTGGGCTGCTGGCTGTTGCTGTCGGTACAAAGGATGGAGGGGGAGACTCAAATTTGCCAGGAAGCCTTTGTGTATGCTGGGTAGGCACAAATTCTTTCTTATTCTCTGTGTATGTATCTCACTGGGTCAGATATAGTAGATCTTCCCTAAACATCCCCCAGTGAAAGACAAGGGTAAAAGCTGCCGACATTCAGCCCCCAATCCACAGTAGACGTTCCACGGTGTTTAGAAATAATTATTAAGTGCCTAAAAAGAAAGATTCGTTTAAGAAATGCTTTTGTGGCTTGGCAGTGAGTTGAAATTGGATACTGACTGAGATGTTCTCCTGGATCACAATCACTAATTCACATGGTAGTTAAGTTAGAAAATGGCACATAAAAACGGCATGTCTTCACTCAATATGTCTGTTCTCCATGTGTCTTTGAACTCATTCTGAAGGCTTTATTGATTAAAAAAGCTTGATTTGTAATCCAGTCTACTTGATAAAACACTGGACTTGGGAACAGGAGCCACTGCCCCAGGCCAGCTCTGTGATTTTGGGGAGGCTTCACACCCAAGCTTTGTCTAAGTTTCTGTGTAATGTTTCCAGTGTATAGGTTTTCCTGTTCATCCAAGCAGCTCAAACTCTTGTCCAGGTTCTCCTTATCTTGTAACTCCATTACTCTAACAGTCTTTATGCTTGCCTGGACGTGCTGTTATGCCTCACTGACAACTACGCTGGATCTTGCTTAAAAGATCATCTTCCCAGCCCATCACGTGAATCAGGTCCCCCTTCTCTATCATTCAAAATTCAAGTTGCTTGTCTTCACTTTCAAAGCCCATCACAGCCTATCTCTACCCTCCCTATCATGTTGAAAGGTCAGCTCCCATCATCTTCTCGAAACCCCTCCTTTGCCATGGTTCCTACAAAAAATGTGATGACCTTAAGGCTCATGCTAGGATTATTTTCTGTCATACTGGCCATTATCATCCTGTTGTTTCTTTGTGCTCCTTTGTCCATCTGCATTCATCTCTTATCTTACACAAAGATTGTAAACTCTTCAAATCTTTTTGATCTCTGATGACATATCACCTCACACAGTAGGGTCCTGGTCCAGGACTAAGGCTCTTGCAAATAAATAACTAATAATTGTTTCTCTCCTGTCTTTTATCCATCTTATTTTTCTGAATGTAAACTCTTCTGGACAGGGGTTAGAATTCGCAATGTGTTTCTGCAGCAACTCCCATGTTTGCATTTCATTTGTGGCCGCATTGTTACTGTGGTACAGTTACAACCACTTTTTATAAGCCAGCTGGGCTTTGTTGCATCTTATGCATCCACGATGAAGTTGTCATCTGCATTGGAAGGACAACATCTCTATTGATAATGATAAATGGAACCCAGTTGAATTTTTAAAAATAATCTCAATTTGTAAATTATGTGGGTTTGTTTTCAATGAAAATGAATAGGAAACCTACATAGTGTGACATCACAGGCTTTATTACAAATGAAGTCTTAAGATCAAGTGGCCAAGAGCTATGAGATCATTTCTGAAATTGCTACTTGTTTCCATTTGGATAATTTTGGGCTCAGAAAGATCCACCAGTAAGAAATCAATCTGCATTTCACTCCTCTTTGGCCCCTGTGATACCCTTATGACACTAACCTGAGCCGTCAGCCAGTTTGCCAAAACCCAGGAAACACCATCAGGAAGAGAGGAGTTTCTTATTCACTAACCATTTTGTGTTTAGTATTTCTTCTTGTTCAATACAACCCACTCATGGGATATCTCAGCTTTGGTTGTTTTTCTCTTTGATGCATAAGCCTGCATTTAAATATCTTCCATTCCTCTCACTAAATGAACTCACAGAGGGATATGTTGAAAGGGGGGTTGCAAAGAGGAAGAAGTTGCAAAAAGGATGTTCTCAGTGATGGCAGATAAGAGAACAAGGAGCAATGGCCTCAAGCTGCAGCAAGGGAAGTTTAGTTTAGATATTAGGAAAAGCTTTCTCACTAGGAGGGTAGTAAAGCACTGGAACAGGCTACCTAGAGAGGCTGTGAAATCTCCATCCTTAGAGTTTTTAAGACTTGGCATGACAAAGCCTTGGCTGGGATGGTATAGTTGGGAATGGTCTTGCTTTGTGTAACCCTAATTTTCTATATTTGCATGTCAACCGGGTGATCTGTAGATTACCTGAATACCAGATTTGTCCTATCCATGCCCCAGGCTGTGTTTGAGACATGAGTATATCTTTCACTGGCTACAGAAATCATTCATTACTGGACTTGAGCTCTTCCCAGGGGATTTTACAACACAAATCCATAGAATTTAGCAGCAGGGAATGGGAATACTCTTACGGCAGGATTTTTTAATATATTTTGTTTTGCAGATATCTTTGTGTTGATTGCCTCGGTACCAGTGGTAGCTGTTGGAAACCAAGGCAATGTTCTGGCTACATCCCTCAGAAGTCTGCGCTTCCTTCAGATTCTCCGGATGCTCCGAATGGACAGAAGGGGTGGCACGTGGAAGCTTTTGGGATCAGCCATTTGTGCACATAGCAAAGTAAGTGAGAGACTTGACGGACCAATGCAACTTAGATTGGGGAAGAGTGAAGGCCCTTCTGAAGCAGAAGTCTAGAAGTCAAGGTACATGAGTCTTTTGCACAACTCAAACACAGACCTGCTCAGGGGGGGATCCAGAGGGGGTGCAGTGGCACAGCCCCACCCCCTTTTCTGACCATACCACAGAAGCAGCATTCAGGGACTTATAAATTACCCTAGCAGGTAAGAATCCTCCTCCCTTCTCTCCTTGTTCAGAGGCACATCCCCTCCTCTTCTCTTTCTTGCAATGCCCTAATGCATGACCTGCTCCCTGTGGGAACTGGCTCCGTGGGGCCCTATACCTATCTCACTTCTCCCTCGCTGGGCTGTAGCAGGTGGGCAGAAGGTCTGGGCACCCCAAATCCTGTTGAGTTGTATTTACTGATTTGCACTACTGCAGTTCCCAGACAGGTCAGGGTCTTAACGTGTCAGATATTGTTCAGACATATAGTGTAAGCTAGTTCTGGCCTCTGACCAGCTCACAAGCTTATCTGAAAATCAAGCCAAGGCTTTTACTTTTTGCCTGAATATGGATTTGGGTGCCTGTTTTTTAACAGCTAAGTCTGAAAATATCAGGAACCATTTGCCCATCGGTAAGATTGTTATAATCCTTCCTCAAAGCAGGGTATCAAACCCAGGGAAAGGCCTGAGTGCTTGAGGTACAGGCCTAGGGTCCCCTACTCCAGGGCTCATTTGATGATACCAGAATCCTAGTTTTCTCATAAAAGAGCCCCTTAAGTTTCTTGTCCTTAGGATTGTGAAGAACAGGTCAGAAATGTGATTGAAATGTAGCTGATGCAGTGACATCCCACACATTTTAATAGCTTGTCAGCTTCAAGATGCACTAGTGTTGATCCTTCACTGTCACATCAGCAGAGAGAGGGCTCTCTCTGCCACAGTATTCTTGATTAAGTGGAATTTCACTGAAGCATTTGCTAGAGATGCATCCATTTTTGTCAAGCTTTCATTGGGAGTGTGCAAGAGAGAAAAACAAGGTTCTTTGGGTAGGTGTGATATCTTTTATTAGACTAACTAAATAGTTGGAAAAATTATTCTTTGCAAGCTTTCGGGCACAAACACCCTTCTTCAGGCATAGAGAGAGCCTGTTGGTGTTTTTTATGGTCTCCTAGGTGGAATAGAAACCAATATGCAGGTCTGTGAAAATGCAGATGTATGGCAGTGGGGATCAGAGGTAATGGGAAACAATTGGTGCGAGACAGGTAGGTATGGGAAGGTGTGGGGAAGAGGGAATGTGTAACTAGTGAGATTGGAGAGCCAAGAGATTGGAGAGAATGGTTGTCTTGTGAGAACTGTGCCCCTCACAAGTGCACCTCGCAGCTCTAATCCTCAAAGCGAATTTACACAACACCTTTCATAGGCAAGCCTACAAACTTCATTTAATAAATCTACTGGACACAAAAAATAATGGACTAAATCGAGACATTGGATTTATGGCACATTATAACCTTCCTAACGTCTAATAACTCCAGATAACATGTCTGCATTTTACCAGCTACGTTCTGTCACCTGTTCAACATTTCCCCTTCCCCCGCCCCACCTACCTGTCTCACACGTGTGGTCTTCCACCCCTCTGATCCTCACTGCCACACATTTGCATTTTGCATATTGGCTTCTGTTCTACCCAGGAGAGCACGCAAAACACCCACAGACTCTCTCTATGCCTGAAGAAGGGTGTGTGTGCCCGAAAGCGTGCAAAGAACAATTTTTCCAACTATTTACAGTCAAATCCATGTTATCCGGCATTTAAGTAACTGGAACACTCTATTAAACTGTAAGAAGGTGCAAAGATGCATCTCAAGCCGGTCCAGAGAGGTGATACTCCCCCTCTACGTGACACTGGTCAGGCCATAATTGGAGTACTGCATCCAGTTCTGGGCACCACACTTTAAGAAGGATGTGGCCTGCCTGGAGAGGGTTCAGAGGAGGGCCACTCGCATGGTTGGAGGGCAACAGGGCAGGCCCTATGAGGAGAGGATGAGGGACCTGAACCTGTTCAGCCTCAGCAAGAGGAGGCTGAGTGGGGATTTGGTAGCTGCTTACAAACTCATCAGGGGAGATCAGCAGCAAATAGGAAGGGTCCAATTCCCCCCAGCAGCACCTGGGGTGATGAGGAACAATGGCCAGAAGCTGCTGCAGAATAGGTTCAGGTTAGAGATTAGGAGGCACTATTTCACAGTTAGGGTGGCTAGGATATGGAACCAACTTCCTAGGGAAGTGGTCCTCGCTCCTACCTTGGGTAAATTCAAAAAGAAATTGGATGAACATCTGTCTGGGGTCGTGTGATCCCAGCGTGTGCTCCTGCCACTGGTGGGCACCCCCCGCCCCCCTGTGCTACTGCTGTTCTGCGCACAGCGCCCCCCCCGCAACTCTGCGTCTGGCTGAAAACCCCCTTCTGACCCCAAACTACTATGAAACTGGAATTTACAGCTGGCCAGCCGGGCACAGGTGGGGAGGGTGGAGCTCGCATGCGGCAGCTGCTGCCACCAGCACCCCCCCATTCCCCACTTGTGCCAGATGGCCTAATAAATCACATTTACCCAAAGAACCTTGTCTGCCTATATCTTTAGACCATGGCTACAACCAACACCCCTGAGAGGGGAGACACTTTATTACTTGCTAGTGATGAGTGGTCTGAAAAGTAGAAGACCCAGACTCATGTCCCTGCTCTGCCTGGTCCAGAGTGATAGGGGATAAAATACTGTCCCTTGAGATAGAAGAGGAAACTTGAGCCCACATTTGGGCACACACTGTCGTAGCAAGCAGCTCAGGTATTGATTAAAACATTGTATTTTTCTGAATATCTGAAAGTTCCTGTTTTATTTCAATAAAGAAAGAAAATATTCTTCCAGAACCTCAAGTTGTCACATAACAGAAATGGTCATTTCCCCTTCAGCTCCAGCTCTAACCTGTGTTGTAGCAGAAGAGTAGTGTGCAGAGGCTGATAGAGGTACCTTGACTGCTGTGGTAACTATATGGGCGAGGTGGGGTTTCCTTCCCTTCACCCTGCCTCTGCAGAGGTAGAGAGAAGGTTCCTGCTGTTGATTTGGGAAGGTAGAGATAGCCCCGGAGGGCTGCCCCAACTTGAGTTGAAGGGAAGTCAGCGTTGTGTTCCAAGTAAAGGTGAGGGATGCAAAGCCATGGTGCAGGGACACGATCCCTGCGCTATGATGGGTTTAGGTCATAAATCCAGCTTTGGGCAAAACTGTATTTGCAGACTGCTTTAAGATCTTCAGGGCAAGGTGCTGTGTATGGGCTAATTAGTGTTGCATCTCTGCAGTGTTTCACAGTCAGTGCAGTGCTATGCCAGTTATGGACTCTGATCAAAGCAGGAGTGACAGTCCAAGCTATTATACCCTGTGCTTCTCATCTCCCTTGCTGCTTGACTTGCAGTGCTGCCACAGCAGAAGTTGAAGCTGGTTTCCGTTTCCTCATTGTCCGTCTGTTTCTATTTCAGGAACTCATCACTGCCTGGTACATTGGGTTCCTGACACTTATCCTCTCCTCATTTCTTGTTTATCTGGTTGAAAAAGATGTGCCTGAAAAGGATGCTAATGGAGTTGAGATGAAAGAAGAGTTTGAAACGTATGCAGATGCACTGTGGTGGGGGCTAGTAAGTAGTTGGAGACATTCTTACCTCTTGGTTGAACAGAAAAGAAGCCATGTGGTTTATGTCAGAGGGGAACGGGAAGCACTAGAGGTAACATTTTCCAAAGTGATTTAGGCACCCCTTAGCCTAAGCCCTATTTATTTTCAATCCTACATAAACTTGTAGGTGCCAAAATCACTTTTGAAAATGAGATTTGGACTCATTAGTCCATTTAGGTGAGATTCACAAAGGAACGGAGGTACTGAAGCCTAGGAAAGCCATTTGCAGAAACTTGGCCTAGCTCCCTCTTTAGCATTCAAGATGCCCTAGATGGCAAAATTTTAACCAGGAAACCTACTGAGGTGTCTTAGCATTTGTCAAGATGGACTGTCACCTATGGAAATGTATGTTTTGAACCACTTACTCCCCAAGGTGCCAACTTGCCCTCCCTTCTGCCTGACTAGGAACTAACATGACTAAATACCTCTCTCTAGATGTCCAGGGAGCAGTGAGCATGTGGGTCTAGAGCATGTAGGTGCTGCCATCTTGGCTGAGTTGAGCTCTCTAGGCATCTCTCTCACACTTAAAAGACCAGTCAAGAGTCACAAAGTGAGGGATCCTTGGATGGACTTGATCCCCTAGGTATTGCTCTGAGCACGTCTAACACCAACCGACACCACAGAGTTCAGCACCCACAGTCAACCGCGGTATCGGTGCCACTCACCCCCTCGTACAATATTTTAGTGCTCAGAGCACTTGCACAAGAAATGGAGACCCTGAGTTATGGGCCTCCCACAGCTAGGAAGGATTCAAACCCACATTTCCCGCTTCTAAAAAAAGTTAATGATTCTTTAGTGAAAAACATAAAAACACTCCTGAAGGCTCCCTCTTGCTTGCTTTTGCTCCGGCCCCAGAAATTCTCTACTCTTGGCTTCTCAGTGCCCCAACCCAGCTTCAGCCAGAAGGATGGAGAATAATCTGCCCCCTACTTCAGCCTTGTCTCTACCTTGGGAGTTAGGTACTCTTCTGGGAGCTTGGAAATATGGGTTTGAACCCTCCGCAGACTCAGGAAGGCATAGGAACCAGATTGCCCACATCCTGGGTGGAGCCAGGGGACTATTATAGAAAAGGTATGCAGCAGCCATGTTGTGAAAGAAAAGAGCGAGCTGGTCGTCTTTACACCGAGGGACAGCATGGACACCTGAGTCTAGTAAGGCTTTGGGGGTGTAAAGGTCAGTCTCCTATAGGCACCTTACCCCAGCCTTGCTGGTGGGCACCTGAGTATGGAGGGAGACAGGACCTCTATTACCCCTTCCACTTTGGTTTCCCTCTTAGCTGTCTCGGGCTCGCATGCTGGCTTTTATTATGAGGTCTCTTGCTGGTGCCTGGCACTCCCCATTTAAAGTGTAGAGCTTAGACATCACCTTGGGTTCCTAAATCCCACTCCCAGAACCAGATGCCTAACTTTTAGGTGAGGGAACAGTCCAAGGGCATGTTTTCGAAGTGCTTTGCTAATCCTGCCCTTATGTGCTTTTTGAAAAATACCCCAGACTTGGGGTTTATTTACACCCGAACAGTAGTTCACAACATTTCTGGGGTGACATACTGCTCTACGCTCCTGTAATACTGTTTGATGGGTATTAACAACAGTAACATGGTGGCTCTACAACCACAATCTTCAACAGCCTGAAAAATATTGTACAATTATTCTTCTTTGCTTTTTCCTCCTTGTCTTCCATCCATCCTTCCCCTTTCCTTCTGCTTCCCCATTCCTTTCTCCCACACACCCTCTAAAACTTTGCTGCAGACCTCCAGCAGCGCATATAACCCATTTTGAGGAACTTTGCACTGCAACAGCCTCCGTTTCTCTCGGTAGGTCAGCAGCACCCCCTAGCGGAGACACAGAAGGTCAAAGCAAAGACAAAACATTTGGAAATGCAGGAGTGATAGGAAAGCATAAAAAAAGAGCTCGTCCCCCTTGCCAATTTGCTTTGTCTTTTTTATGAAAGGGCCAACCCATTCTCTCCGCAGATTACGCTAGCTACAATTGGCTACGGTGACAAGACCCCCAAAACGTGGGAGGGACGGCTAATAGCAGCCACGTTCTCTCTCATTGGAGTTTCATTTTTTGCTCTTCCAGCTGTAAGTACCATCTTTCTTTTAGTTTTGTTGTGACACAGCCAAAATCATATAAAAGGAAAAGCAGTAGCCTCCTTTCTGCCGAGGTCCTGGGAATCTGCGATTTGGTGACTCGCAACTGGATTACTGTGCACATTCACACTTGGTATGGAAAAAGCGGCCTAATACTCCCTGATGACTAAATTGATATTGAGCCAAATGTGAATTACCCCTGTATGCTGTGTGGATGTTTCAGAGCTAAGCCCATATACAGGAGGATTACATTCAAGTTTTGTAACAGACCTGAGACTTGAATACAGATTTCCCACAAGGTTCATGGTAAAATTGTCAACAGTATCCCTATTTCTTAGGAAACTAAAAGATGTGACTTAGGTCACTTAGGGTGCCTGTAGACATGTGGGACACCTGCTCCGACGTGTTGTAATTACAGCGTGTTGGAGCAGGCTCGATTAACCGAGTGGTCCAGCATCCTCGGTCTCTCATGTATTCAGCATCCCCGTGCTTCAGAATGTCAGCTGGGGAGCTTTAACTAAAAATCAGTCAACGAGTTTTAATTTAAAGCATCCCTGCTGCCATTTTGAAGCATGGGATGCTGGATACATGAGACACTGTGGGCACTTTAATCAGAGCAGCTTCCAAGAGCCATTCTAATTAAAACACCCTCCCCACACCCTTGAGCACATGTAATGATTCCTTTAAGCACTTGGAAACCTTCATTTCATTGAAAAATGAGGCCTTCATCTACTGGGTCTGGACTGGATTCAGGGGGTAGTTTTGCATTTAGTACCTAACTCCCACAGATTGCCACAGGAATTGCGTGTCTTAAAATATTTTAAATGGTCCCTTGGTCACTTTTGAAAAAGGAACAGGCCCTCCCAAGCTAGTTTGGCATGTCTGAAAAAGCCACCTTCGCCCATAATTTTCTCAGGGGTCTTGATCCAAGATTTGGTTGAGCTTGGGCCTGGGCTCTGAAGCAAACATTGCCGAGTTCAGAGTTTGAGATGGGTTTCCCTTTGTCCCAAAACTGGAAAAGAAATTCATAGGAATGGGCGACTTTGTGTTCCCAAATCCAGAATATGGTTTCATATCTCCCTTGGGAGGGAGACAGAGCAGCTGGACACCAACCCCATAGGAAGGCAGTAGATGCTCTTTTTCAGGAGTTTGTAATGAAACCATGTGACATGTGGATCGGGGACATGGGGGGGCACGGGGCTGTTTGACCAAGCAGTCTGACACCCTGTGAGCAGAGCTGTCAGAAAGGTAAATACCACCCCGTGCATCCACACCGAGTTAACTGTCCCCTGCATGAGTTTCAAGAGAGTTGTCCTCATGTTCTCTGCTGTTCTTGTGTTTTCAATGAAATGATACCTGAAGTCTGTGACCATCATTGCTTTCAGGGCATCCTGGGTTCAGGGCTGGCTCTTAAAGTCCAAGAACAACATCGGCAGAAACATTTTGAGAAAAGAAGAAAGCCAGCAGCAGAACTTATACAGGTTTGGATTCTCTCAGTTGTCATCTTGAAATCATACCATGTATTATAGGTGCTGCAAAATGCAAGAGTGAATTCCTGCTTGACAGCCTCATTTCCCATTGCAGTACCTTACACGTTTTAAGTTTTGTAAGCAAAAAATAGACCTCTGAAGTCAGTCTAGAATGAGTCCATGATCCCTTCTAGCCTTAAAATACATTAATCAGAGTTCACAAAACACCCAGCCCTGTTAAAGCAAAGGCATCTTTATTATAACGTCATGGATTCAACATGTAAGCAGTCATGTTGCTGAAATTTTCTTGGAAAACAAAGACAAAATCTTTACTCTGTGGCACAAAATCACCAAAAACAGAATGGATTTTTTTTTTATTTTTATTTTGTGAAATGAGGAAATCCCATTAAAAATCTAGGTTTCACCATTTTCCTTGAGGCTTAGTACAGACAGTCAAAAAGCCCAAGGCTGAATTGATTTAGTCTTTACAGGTTAGTCTAAACTGCACAGATTAAACTGAAACAGAAGTGAACGGACATTCACCTTTGATTCAGGAAATGCAGCCACATGCCTGCAGTGGCTCAGGCCAGATGCCGGCAGGTGCTAGAGCGTGGCTCTCTGGCATGTAGCCAGCATGGGCTGTTGTTCACTTCCTTTTACTGCTCCCCTGAGGTCTCTGGGATTTGCAGTCCAAAATCACAGCAGCAGGGCTCTGCAGGGTTGCTCATCGCTTCCTCCTCCTGCTTCTAGGTGTCTCTGGGATTTGTAGTCTACAGTTGCAACCAGCAGTAAATTTGAGCGGGGCAGGGGGTGTTTAACGCCCCCCTGCCCCAGCCCTAGAAACCAGCTGGGGTTTGCCTCGGGGGGCAGCCCCCCTGCAGACATGCCCCCCACCCCAACTCATTGTCAGCCAGCACTTACTGCTCCAGCTAGGGAGCAGAGGGGCAGGGCCAGCCCTGCTCACTGGAGCAGATGGCAAAGCCCAGCCCAGGGCTGCAAAGCATGCTGGGATGCTGGGGGACTGTGATTTAACTTGAACCAGGTAGGGGTCTTGGACAGAAGTTTCATAAACCAGTTTGACCCAAATCAGTTAAGTCTGATACTGCATTCAATAAACCAGTTTCAGCCATTTTGAAACTGGTTTATGTGCACTGAACTTCTGTTCTCTTACAGGTTTAACCTAGTTTCTGATCACTTAAACCAGCCTAAGAGGCTAAGAGGCACTTATCTCTAGCCTAAGAGGCTATTCCACATGTAAATAAGAGTGAAACTCAACAGTGCAGAGAATATTGTTAAAGGGAGACTATTGTTGGGTTGAAAGGGGACAAAACTTAATGTATGTTCTTGGAAAAGAACATTGAAGAAAAAGGAGCTAGTGCACACGATTTGCAAAGGCAAGAATTGAGCCCTTCATCCTTCCTTTGATTGTGACATATGCAACTATAAAAAAAAATCTTACGTTCTGATCAGAAGTACATTGAAGTCAGTGGAAAGGTTCCCACTAGCTCCACTGGGCTTTGGATCAGAGCCTTAGTCTTTATTTCATAAAATTGAGCTTAAAGTTGACAGCATGAGAGCTAATTAGTTTGACCAGCATTACCCTCTCTATCTCCTTTGTATCAACGGTCTGAATAAAATTAAGTCAATGGTAAAACTTTTCCAGTGGGATCAGAATGATTTCCTTAAAAAACAGTGGTAGTTCTGGGCACTCAGGATCTCCCAGAATCAGACCAATTTGCAAGCAAATATGTTAAACAGCATTTACTACTTTTGCATCCAAAGCATTCCCTACCAAAGCACTAGATCCTGTGAAAATGCCTGGAGTTTGACTTATCTTTTAAATTAGAGAATCGCTGCATAAGAGGATCCACCTTTAACCACATTATCCCCATGTACCAATGGTGCTAATGGAATTCTAACACTGCTCTGCAAAACTTTCCCCGGTGGCACATCGAGCAGACTACTGCCTCCTAGCCCTAGCTCGTCCACATCCTCAGGTTGAATGGAGGACATTTTGCCAAACCAGAAGCACCTTGTCAGACTTCAGACTAAAACAAGACTGGTAAAATGTAACCTTCTTTAGCTGTTTGAAAACAATGGGCAACACACAGTAGCTTTCCATGTATGCCCCAGGGAGGAATTTTTGAGTGCCACTGTCCTGAACATCTTTTTCTGTCATCTTTATGTGAACCCTGGCACCATCTAGTGGCAACTTTCAATATTGCTATAAAATAATCCAATACAGAAACTCACTTCTCATGTGCTCTGTCCTTTTCATTGAAAGAAAGTGGAAGATTAACTAGCTACATTCACTTTTAAGCAAAAGTAAACCTTGTTTTTCCAAATACTAACAATATCTCTTTTTGTGTTACTCAGGCTGCCTGGAGATACTATGCTACTAACCCTAACAGGATTGATTTAGTCGCTACCTGGAGGTTTTATGAATCAGTTGTATCGTTTCCATTTTTCAGGTAAGTCTGTAGAATCCCAGACCGGACAGGGGATGTGAAATGTATGTGGATAAGTCAGTGATTTTTCCATGTTGCTGGTGTAAATCAAGGGAGCGTCATCAGTCGCAGTTTAGAGTGGAGTTTTAGATCAAAGGACTTCTGATGTACAAGCTAGTTTCCATGTCAGTCTTCTGTTGCTCGCCAATTTACCTTTTTATTGTTCTACTGCAAATCATTTAATGTACATTGATCTCTTGATATTGAGGATGGTAATGCAGTTCCCTAGAGGCCAGAAAGATAATTGTAAAGTCTTATCGGTGTTGATAAGTAGGTACTTATCACTGGGGAAACGGTCTTACATTTCTGTTTTCAAATTAGCAGTCTTTTCTCCTGGCTCTCATCAAAGATTGGGGTCTGTAATCTTTATTACATAGTAAAAGTGCTACTGACAGGGTTGGAGAACTGGATTTTCATATAGAAGAGATTACGTCAATAAAATAGCAACATTCTTTGGAAATGAATATGCAAAAATAACGTTAGAAATTGAATTAATGTGCAGCAGTAATGAAAAAAGCAAGTGTAAAAGCACCACCCTTTTTTTGCAATTTATAGTGCATTTCACAAGCTGCTGCAAAGCTATGTAGTTGTAAAGTTCAGCAAAGTGGGTATGAATATGTTAGCGTGTGAACATATACAAACATACAACACACAAGCATGCACGCACACATTTTGCCAGTCTATGACAGTCTAATTCCTGAATGTCTCCCAAATTCTATTTATCTAGTTTATATTGGCCAAAACAGTTTTATTTTCATTAGCCTTTCAGAGGCACTACAATTATGGGAAAGTAAGCTGGATCCTGTTCTGTTTTGACTATTCTGGAAGCTGTCTACTGAAGAACTCGTTTCACATTTCAGAGTCTGAGTTTAGTTTGCTGAGCCAGCAATTAGAAAACCAGTTTTGGTTTTGTAAGATGGGTACCTTTGATGCTGAAATCATGTAGAGAGAATGCCTGTGGAATATCCAAGTTCCATTTTAGCTTGTCTCCTAATTTCTAACTTTGATGTGGACCTCAAATTCACTGAGCTTATGAGCCAGAAAAAGATGTCAGCTTAAGTAGACATATTATAGATTTTGCATATAATGTTTCCTTTTCAGAAGAAAAGATGTTCAATAAGTCTATAAAGATGTTCTTTTTGGACTCCACCCCAGCACGGTAGATTCCCTTATTTTAGAGGCTATTCAATAGAAATGACTAGGTGGAAAGAGCAAGATTGGCTTCCTATGAACACATTAAAATAGACTGAACTGGGAGAGAAGTTTGTTTTAAAGAGACGTGGTTGATATGCAATGCTAATGAAAATAATAATTAAGGTCAAAGCAACTGACTTGGAAGCCATACCAGAACGGAGTGCTGTTCTTCTTAAATTCTTGTACTGAACCTATCACAGCGATGTTGACCTCGACCTCAACTAAGCAAAAGAGAGTGGGAGATTTATGCTTACCTATTTAAAGGAAGGTCTGTAATGTATGTGTCCTTTAGACATTATCTAGAGGCATTAAAATAAATCTTCCCTTTAGAAAATTGTCCCAATTAGGCAAACAGGTAGCACTGCAAGCATTAGTTAAGTGGACTCTGGTTAGTTAAGTGGACTCTGATTAATGTATGCAAACTCATCTATCTATCTATCTATCTATCTATCTATCTATCTATCTATCTATCTCTATAGATGACCATGACCATACACTGGTCATGGAAAGCTCTGGTCATGGAAAACTCCCACCTGGAAGTCTCCCAATTAAAAGACTCAGACTCTACAATGCTGACCCTAAAAAAAGGCTACCTATTTGAACCTAACAGAAGGGTTTAGACATCTATCTATCGATCTATCTATCTCATGGATCGATCAATGGATGGATCGATGGATCAATGGATGGATGTCTAAACCCTTCTGTTAGGGTCAAATAGGTAGCCTTTTTTTAGGGGTCAGCGTTGTAGAGTCTGAGTCTTTTAATTGGGAGACTTCCAGGTGGGAGCTTTCTTTCTTTTTCTTTCCTTTTTTTTTTCTTTTGCCTTCTGACTATTTGATCTTCTAGCATCCGTTTTGAGCATAGTTGCCAAGGCCACCGTGCTTAAGATGTAGGCCTGAGGTACCTTGTGCCTCAGTTGCCCTTCCTATAAAGTGAGAACAATGCTCTTTCCTTAGTTTATGATTTATAAATTAAAAGGTCCATAACCTTGCTAAACATTATAGTTATGGTCCACTTCGTATACCTGGGTAGAAGCTAGGGCTTGGTGGCACCTTAGAGACTAACTACTAAAGAGAAGCATGAGATTTCATAGGCAACAACCTGCTTTGTCAGGTGCTACAAATCTTTCTAACACGGCTAACCTCCTTTGTTTCTATACCTAGCAATGTGCTGTTGCTTCTACTCTGGACACCTTTTAAAACAATTGTTTTTATTACTGATTTCAGCGACATTCTGTGTACTTAAAATACCAGTAGTGCTTGTAATGTCTAGAAGAGAAGCCTAAATACTTCAGACGTGATTGGGGTATTTCAGATGTGCTGGTAAACAGCGGCAGGTATCATTCTCCCAGTATTTCTGAAAATCAGTTGGGAGACAGCATATATTTTTCCTTCTCAACTTGTTGGTTTCAAATGTGAAACAAATCACATTTCCAGTAGTGAAAGAATAACTCACAATTTTATGTCATCTCAAAATCTTTCTTTAGGATTGGCCATGAATATATTGCAAACTTAATATTCAAGAAGGAAAAATACTCAGAAGTCTTTATTTAGGGCTTAGGTAATTTCTCTGCTTTTCTTACCCGCCCTGCTACTCCAGACAAACTTCTGATACTCTTCACTAACATAGTCAAACTGGTTCCCAAGGGGTTGTTGACCTCAGCTTCTCGTTCAGTGTGTGACGTCTCAGCTGTCTCATTAGAGCAGTTGAATATTGTGAGTTTGGACTCAGTGGTGGAGTTGCTAGTTTTTTCATCCATTTAAGTTTAGATGGGCGATAACTAGTCTCAAATAAAATTTCCAACTTAACAGGTGCTCTGCAGGTCATTGGAACCTGTTCAGGAGACCTGTCTGCTCATTTGAGGGCTGGAAGCTAGGGGGTTACAGACTGATTTCAGGAGCTCACATCTACCTTCCTTTTTATGGCTAGTTAGGGAGGAATTGCTACAGCTCTTTTCTGCTGTGATGCAGGGTCACCGAATAGAAAGGGCAAGACCCTGCTCTACAGCATTTCCAGCAAAAAAACCCATTCTGAATTTAACACCCACTTTTTCTCTCCTTGCTTTTTCCTATTGCTTTCGCTTTTCTGTCCTCTAAAAGAAAGGAGCAATTGGATGGCACTGCGAGGTATGTAACTGTCACTATTATCATTGCTTTAATGAAATTGTTGAAGGATGAGTTATAGTTCACGTTTTACCTGTATGCTTACATGCCATGAACTGAATACGCTACTTAAAATAATGAATAGATAAATATTAAATAAAACAATTTGCCCATCTTATGTTCCATTTGATATCTTTATTCTTTTATTTAATAATGAGTCCAAGATGCAAACATCTAAGGTACTGCTGACTGTAATAAGTCTAAAAACTGCTTGTCTACAAAGAAGACCTAAGTAGACTTGTGTTACACTCCACAGTCACAGCTCAGTCATAATTGGGGCATTCATCTTGTGACTGGGAGAATTTGAGGGGTCTCAATATTTTAGCATTGATGGATAAGCTCTGAGCAAAGCAATATCTTGTCATCGTGGATCAGGACTGTTGAAATTCACTGTGTTCACACGCTTTTGGAGAACAAGTGTGATATGTTGTTAGGATGGAAATTCAGGATAACCAAGCTCTTTGGCAGTCCTAAAAAGAGCGTCCCGCTGATCCCAGGGTCTTTTCTAAAACTCTCAGGGGTCAGTGGAAAGACTGCCCTTCATTTTGGTGGACAATGGGACAGCCCCGATGTGAAGCAAAGCTAGTTTCTTCAACACCGGTGTACGGTCATGATATTAGAGAGTCACACTATGTCCCAGAGGTCACTCCCAGTTAAACAGCAGCTCCTTAAAGACACTGATAAACCACAAGTACACTAGGCAAACATTTTCCAAAGCACCTGTCAATTTGACGCTGAGGCTTAGATTTCTAAAGCTGCTCGACCGTCACTGATACCCATAGGTCTTACTGAAGTTCAGCTGGCAGCAAGATCCTCAGAGGACTTGGGTGCCCTGGTGAACCTTTTCTAACTTGAATAAATAATTAAATATTCTTTGGTCCAAAGAATGAGATAGTGCGGGATCATTTGTGTGTGAATGTGACTTTATAGCTCAGCGGTTTAGACGTTGGCTCAGGAAGAGGTGATCTGGGTTGCAGTCTATGCCTCGGGGAATATTTAAGTCCATTCTGCAATGTGGTTGAGAGATCCCCACCCAGATTAGCTTGTGGTTTGAACACACTCCTGGGTGGTGAGTGAGGGGGGTCCAAGTCCTCTCAGGCACAGGAGGGGTTTACTTTTCAGTGTCCTGCATCCTCACTAGCTCTATTCACTTAGCTACTGGAGGAAAGGGTGCCCCTGCCATCTCAATCATCCGCGAGATACCAGGCTATGAATCCTGATGGAGATACGGCTTAAGGAAGCACCAACTACCTTGGCACTGTCCAGATTCTGGCCATTTGGGGTACGCTTAGCTGCAGAAATGTAGAAAATTTTACTAGCAGAAACTTAGGTGGCTGGACTCTAAGCACTGCAGGCACCTCCATGATCAGGTCAGAGCTGAGCAGTGGTTTTGAGGGTCTGAATTTTGGGTGGCGGCATCACAACTGACAGTTAGGCACCTCAAGTCTTTTTGTGAATCTAGACCTAGGTTTCTCAGGGTATGTCTATACCACGTCAGCGTGGTGCCAGAGATGCTGTGTTGAGACCCGCCGTGCCAGCTCTGCACACACGCTACCTCCCAAACTGGCAGCAGCACAGCGCTGTGCCTGTCCCTCTGTGCCTGCACTGCTCGGGCCTTCAGGACTGAGCCAAGCACAAAGGCAGCTATGAAGTTTGTGGCTTGGGAGGATGCAGCATGCTGGGTCAGTATAGACTTCTCCTTTAACTCACAGGCATGATTTGAAAGTTGCACCTGGGGATGCCTTTTTTCTCTGGGCAGTGAATTATCCTTGCTTTGAAAGGCAGGATAATGACTGATTTGTCATTTGTTACTGCCAGGCAGCTTATAGAAATGGGGACTGGGTCAAAGCAGTTAAACACTCTCCAAAGTAGACTGGTAGGTGGCCATGGCTGTTGTTGGTTTTGGTTGTTAATTGTTCTTTTTTATTACAATTTGTGCAATCCAAAATGCTAAGTTGCTCTTCTTCCTAATTAGATTTAATAAAGAGGATAGTACATTTCCCCTATAATATTCCTTTGGAACAAGTGGAAAATCAAGTCATGCTTTCCTAGTACAGTCAGCACATTCTGTCTCCAGTTCCTGGCACCGGTAAAACTCTTACTGGGAAAGTGGTAGCAACAGTGCTGATTTGGATGTTGGAGAGCAAGTGAGTAGGAGTCAATCCACAGCTCCCCCAGGGGGAATACATCATAATGCAACTACTTTATAAATTAAAGCAGAGGCCTTGCTTTATGGTGAGCTCATATATGGCCCCAGCTTTGCCACTATTGAAGTCGAGAGCAAAGCTCTGTAGGATTTCAGTGGCATTAGGATTGGGCCCCCTGACATCATCTCAGCGTCACCTTCCTCTCATTTTCATGAAAAGAGGAACTTGAGTCAGGCTGAGGAGTGTGTAAGCTGAGACCCCTGGGATCTAGGATAGGATAGCAGTTTGATTTGACTCTGTGGATAGACTATTTGAGGAAGCCCCGGGATAGTGACGGAGTGGGACGGTCCAATACACTATGGAGGATGCCTGGAATATAGTGAGAGAAGGTTGATATACTTTTATAAAGTGGCATCCCAAAATGTTACTGGATTTGACCTTCCCCTTAGGTTAAAACTAGGCAGTTATGTGGAATGGTTGGATGAAGAGCAGATCTGGCTGTGATTTAAGTCTCAGACCCATGGTGGTCGTTCCTGATGCGGTCAGATTGCTTGGATGCACATTGCTATTGCTGCTATATTCAGAACAGTTCCTCCGCCCTGTAGTTTATGCATCTACACGGTCCAGGATGAGCCTTAATCTTTATTCGTTAGTCAGGATTTCACCAGGTCAGAGCTTCATGCCAGAAGTCCTGCTCACTTGCTTTGCCTTCCTTAGCACCTGAAGTACTGAGTTTTTAGTAACTGGTGAGCATGTTGTCACACAGCATTTTTGCTCTAGAAAGAAGCATTCACTTCCTCCCTCCCCTTTTTCCTGCGCAGCCTAGCTCCGTCAGGATGCTCTGCAGGGCCTCTTCCTTCCCCAAGAGCACGCCCCCATGGGGACAGCACTCTGGGGTGCATTTGCAGTTGACGTTCTGTATCCCCTTCAACTGGCATTTATTCATTTGACAAATGTTTTCAAAACCATCTGCTAATGCTCTGTGGGTTTCTGCTATAGGTAACGCACCCTTTATTTTGTCCCCGTGTTTTCTCTCTGTATGAGTGGACCCGATTTTCAGAAGGATGTTCTACTGAGATCAGCTAGAGCTGTGGATACTCAGCATCTCTGCAAATAAGCCCTGTAGCTATCATGGATAGGTCTAACAGGACATGTCCGCATTGCCTTAATGCCACCACGAGGCACACAACATACACTCCACCTTGAAACACCTGTGTACCTGCCTTTATGTGGCACTGCACGTGTACATGTTCTCTGTGCTCATAGAGGACAGGACTAGGGGCAAAAGCCACAAGCTACCCCGGAAAAGTTGTGGAATCCCCATCCCTAGGAAGTTTCAAGGGCAGATTAAACATCTGGCTGAGATGGCTTAGTCAGGAATGCTCCTGTCTTAAGCAAGGAGCTGGACTACATGATCCCTTCCAGTCCTACTTTCCTATGATCCTGTGAAAAGAGCTTTCCCCACAAAGGTGTCACCCACGTTAGCAGGCAGCAGACATGTCGTGGGTGTCGCGTGCCCCACAGAGGTATGCCCTGGCATGTGGCTGAAGTGGTGGAGACCAGCTCATAGAGTTTTTAACTTGCCCAGTCTATACTCAAAGTCAGTAAGATTTCTGGCTAACTAGGGAGCATTGTCCAGTGGCTGGACTGTGGGGTTGGCTCTCACCAGACCCAGGCTCTTTCCCAGGTTTTATCACCGCGTGACTGTGAACAGATCACTTCTATTTTCGTATTTCCATAAAAGAGTTGATAATAATCATGCCTCTGTGGCACGTGTTTTGAGGTCCTTGGATGACAAGAACTATGTAGGTTTCCTTATTATGTCATTATACAAGATTGAATATAATGCAGTGTATTTTTGTGTTGCCAGTAATAATAAGATAACAAAAATAAAATGAAGCTTTGTGAAGAGAGTTGGGAAATGGCTCTGTCAGCACTTCCTATTAATGGACCTTGAGAAAATAGAAAGGGGTAAAAAGTCGATCTCTGAATGCACACTACATTAAATACAAATGAAGGGCAGTTTCCATTCTTTCTCATGCAGCTTTTCATGGATAACCATTAACCTCTCATCTTAATAACTTCTTCTTCACTTTACAGTAATGTCATGTTTAGTAGGGAGTCATTCTTTGGATCAAGCCTCACCAGAAAACTTAGGTATATACCTTCAAGTAATAACTGAGCCTTTCTCTTTTCATATATGCTGCATGCCATCCTCTGCCTGCACTTTTTTTTACCATGGTAGTTCATCTAACAAAAAAGGGGGGGGGGGTGAGGGAGGAAAGCTAATATCTAGTACATAATTTGGCAATATTTGAAACGGGGTAAGGGAGGTCAAGTGGCCTGAAACATAAAGCATTGTCCTGGGGCTCAAGAAACTTGAGTTCTGCTCCTGGCTTTGTCGATGGCCTGCAGTTTGCCTGCTCTGCTTCAGTTTGCCCCATGTATAACATGGGAATAATGATACAATCTCCTCTGTAAAGCACTTTAAGATCTACTGAGGAAAAAGATCATACAAGACCAACATCTTGTTGCTGTATATCTACCGTCTTGTCTTATCCAATGTGAGTAATTTTGCATATGAGTTCAATGAGACTACATACTTGTGGGTGTATTTGCAGAGCCCCAAAGTCTTGGGTCAGATTCAGCAAGGTCCCTAACCATGTACCACTCCTTTAAGAATATAAGTTAAACATGCTTAAGCACCCTGCTGTACTGTGGCCGCTGACTGTAAGCACTTATATACTGCCTTCCTGCAAATGGACAGTGGGTGCCATTGAATGTAGATAATATTCAGAATAGGTGCTTAGATGCATC